ATGCGGGCCGGCAGCACCTTCCCTGGCATCTTGTGGGAGCCGAAAAAGTAACCCCACAAGCTACTACGTGTGTGTTGTGAAACTTCACCTATAATTACTCAGTGAAAGCTTCCATAGAAAGCGTTAAAGAGACCCAGGGAGTCAGAACATTGACATAAACCCATATTGAAAACCACTGCCGCCTCTGCGAGGACCCACCAGGGCCAGCGCTCACAGAAACCAGCGCCGTCCCCAGCCACGTTAACCAAGCTGTGGTCGCGCTGGTCACGTACACCCACCACCTATCCCCATCACCAACACTGCATCGTCATGCCAGCCCGCGACCGCACCGCCGTTCCCAGCGGCGTACCCGCGCCGGCAGAGAAGAGGCCTGCGACATGCTGCACTGCAGCTGAAGCAAACACGAGATGTTGGCCAACTCCTCCGAAAGCACCGTCAGATCTTTAATATCCACATAAAGCAGATGGTGTCGCAGATTTGAAATCTCATTCCAAAAGAAGCACGCGTAGGAAACCACACAGAGATAGAAGCGTGTTTATTCGGAGAGTTTTTGCGTTGAATGTTGCATTGGTTAAGAAACTTTCCAGGTTGCGTAACCTTTATTTTCTACCTGCGCAGTTCAGCTATAGTCAGGCTTGCACAAAACTACCCACATCAATCCCTGAGGTTGATGAGACTTAAATATATCAGCTTTAGGATGAGGAAGGCTGAATCAGCCCCACTGGGATTAAAAGCTGCAAATTCAGAGTTGCAAGTGTTTAAACCTGAGGGCAGGGTTTTGAAGTGCATACTCAGTCATAAATACATGCTTTAATGCTCATTATTCAGTACCATAATCAGGTTGGAATTTTTTTTTCTGTATTCTGTTTTTGCAGGAGTAGGTGGTTCACCCGTGTCTCAGTGAGATGAATGAACATCGCAGTTCTCATGTTGAAGGAGAGGCAGGAATCGTAAAAGATTTTAGCCAGGAATAACCTCAAAGTGACTCCTGAGAAATGCTGGGGACACGAGGAGAATGCAGGTTTCTTGCAACACAGATACCTTTGAAGGGGCCGGAATGCGAGCTGCAGGCACTGACAGACTCTCTGGTTTCACCTCTCCACAAGCCTCGCAATTTGCACTAAGAATCTCTCCTGCAGTAAGAAGCTGGCTGGTGACACGCATGGATTTACTTGCCATTGAGGTGGGATTATATCCCTAAGTAAGGCTATAGCCACGGTGATAATTAGCTGTACACTGATTGACTTGGACATTGTAGAGACTAAAATAAGAAGCAACCTGCACATGTCCTCAGAAAAGATGCTGCAAAGTATCCTGAAGAAATGGTCAAACAGTTTGTGTCACAGCCATTTTGGGGCCAGCTGGAGGCAAATCACCACCTAATTAGGCCATCTAGGCTGAGCAAAACTAATTCAGGAGGGGTAATGGCAATTTCTTCCAGCTGCTTTCTGTGTACTTTTATTTTATTAGGTGGGGAAGCTCTGTAGAAAGATGATGCTGTGGTTACAGTGCAAGACTGGTTCTGCGTTTATTTCCCACAGGGTTTTAGGCAAATCGCTTCCTGCCTCTGTGGTTTTTGATTTGTCCTCCAGTGCAAAATGTCTTTTCTCCCAAGAGACGTTCCGAAGCTTGAAGTCATTGCTTTTTAGTGACTTCTGCATGGGATGTGCTGTGAAAGTATTTGAAAGTAACTGAAAGTATTACAGAATTGCAGTACAGCGAGTCTTCTGAAATCCTAGCGCTGTACAAGTCTTCCTTTAATTATTGTGTATGACTGAGCAATGAAGGGACACTTTTAATCTACACTTTGTAATACATATTGAACTCTAAAAGCTAAGTAATAAACCTCAAAGGCAAGGCATTTTAAAGCTAGACTAATAAGAAATAAGCAGGACATTTAAACTAGATCTTTCTTCTAATCTGTTAGTGCTAAATGACCCAATTAAGAAAAAAGCAAAGACAAAACATTCACAGAAGCTAGTGGGTCAAATTGTACCTGTGAAGCTCTCCAGTTTAATAACTTAATCGTATGCAAGCAGGCTGCAACTGGCAGGTTAAGAAAAAGTACAAGTGACAGTGAAGCGTTGTTCACGAAAAGGCTGGATTACCCACCCATTCGCAATGCTGGGCTCAAGGAAGACGGAGACTTTATTACAAGTCTGATCCAAAGACCGCTGGTATCAACAGAAACTTCACCGTGCTGCCCACGCACAGAACCTCGACAGGGGGCTGGGAGCTGAGCTGTTGCTGTCCGCGTGGTTCCTTCCGTCCCAGTACCTGTTTGGAGTGTTCACTGGTTGCCTGTACATTTACAGTCCTACTGAGAAAACTTTGTCATCAACTATAAATAATAAAGTGAGTAGTGTTCCTGTGCCTCCAGATGCATACATACTTAATATGCAAGGAGTGGAATCATAGAGTTTGGATATACATCTATGCTGTGTCTTGTTTTCACACTGTGGAATAACATCCTGAATCATAGTTGTATATCCTGCATTATTGTATATCCTGAATTATAGTTGTATAATTAGGCTGAAGAGATTTGTTAAGGATTAATAAATGTTGTCTAACAGATGTTCCTCCCCAAAACATCACACAAGATTTCTGCAACAGTGAAAATGGAAAGGAAGGAGAAGCAGCAGGAGATGGGTATATCATATGTATTTAACTTTGATACAGCTGTCAATTATGTCTAGGAATTTACTGATATGAAATTAGTTTTACTTTGAGACACGACTATATACCTTGATGCTCTTCAGTTTCTTACTATTTTTTACTCGGTACCATTTTGTATTTGAATCTTCTTTTAGCTTTTTGCTGGTTCAAAGCTTTATTGCCACAGTAGAGTGGTATTCCCATCTCAGTTTGGTTTAAAACCATGTTACTGATGTATCTACAGTAGGTCAGGGCCTCACTGGGTCTTTCTGGTCTTGCTGCCTCTTCAGAGAAACAGAATCGGCGATGACCACAGTCTGTGCAAGCACGAACCCCAGCCGTTTCACAGGCAGCATGCCTTCACACCTCTGGATGTGCCTGCCTTTATGCCACCCAGTCAAACGTGCTCTGACACGGCCTCTAAAAGCCCATGGGGGCCCCAGCGCGAAGCCCCACGACAGCCCCTGGCCAAGCAATCCACACCCCACCTCGCCCAACCTCGGCAGCCGCGTCAGGTTCCCCAGCACGGCAGATGCAAGCGTGGATCTCTGTACGCAGCTTTGAAAACAAACAAACAAACAAACAAACACACACACACACACACACACACAGAGCTGCAATTTTCTGTGACTGTTTGTTGGAACAACAAAAGCTGCTTGGTCACGTCGGGTCTGCTGTAAGGAGGAATACCTACACAGCGAGCACAACCGCCATGCTCTGACAGCCCAGGCAGAGCTACTCGTAAGCAGTACCTCGTTTACTGGTGCACAAAATTATGCCGCAATAAGCCACGAGTATTGCAAGAAAGGGAAATGAAGATAGCAGCAGCAAGATGGAAGACTTTCCCAACGAGACTTCTCCTTTCCTGAGATTCAACAGCAGAACTGAGGTTCAGACTATCGAGTGATGAAGACGAGTTTGTGCTGACTGTGGACAGGGCACGGCAGACGGCTGAGCTCCGAATTGCCTTCATCTAGCACAGCTAACTCCCTTAGAGCTGGGTTTTTGGAGCCCTCACTCACTGATTTCACCAGTGATCTTTGTCACTCCATTATTTCTTCAGCCTACTGGAGAAATCATAATTAACCAATGGTTAATTTAATCTTGCTGTCCAGATTAAGTCCCTTACTGCATAGCCTAGCAGTTTTTAACCTGGTGAGGACTGAAGCTCTGCCAGTTTTCCCATGGGAGCCTCGTCTGCAAAAACGGGAAGGGACTGGCATGTGTGCTCTCCGGAGCTGCCTGCTCGTGCACCACCCTAGCGCATCGGCTTGCTGTGACCCCCCAACAAACTCCCAGCGGGGATTTGGGTGCTGCTGGGAGAGCTAAGCAGTGAGCAGCGCTTACAGAAAAGAGCAGCTCCCCTCCAGATCTATCCAACATGGAATCTCGTTTCTCCTTTTCTTATATATAGGGGTGAGAAGGTAAGTGGAACATGCTGGAGCAGGAAGAGGTGACAGATGGTGGATATTAAAAAGACTCTTTAATTACAGGATTTGGAGAGAGGGTCCTTTATGGAGATAATTTTTTAATTGTTGCTTTTTTTAGGAAAAAAATCCCAGTGCTCCCAAGCAGTTCCTGGTAGCAAAAGTCCTGGTCTCTGAGCGCTGTTGACTCTAATCATTTCAACACAGAGAAAAAGAAAATGCTGTGCTTGTTAGAACTCCTTGGTTAAACTTCAACTTCTTCTGCAGAGAAGTGTTTGTTTCCTTCCATCTGCTGCCTTTGCAAGGAAGGAAAATCAGCCTGTTCAGATACCAGGAAGTTCTTCAACATTTGAACAGCTAGCTGTAAACGCAGAAACAATAACAGGCATAAATTATCATACCTAAAAATACCCTGCATGCTAGTCACACATATAACCCAGCCCTGGAGCAATTCCTAAGTAACATAAGACGGCGTAAAGTATGCAGATACACGGGATGTGGGCAGAGCAGGGCAGCTGTGGCAGCAGATGCACGTGCCTGGCTCTCTTGCACCGTTGTAGTTTTTTCCTCTCATCAAAACATGTTTTGCTTTTACTGGGAGCTGCCGGCCGCCTCCTACGTCTTTGTGCACCAAAGGCACTTGCACAGGAGATTAAAGCGAGAGCCAGACCCTTTGCAGTCGACACAGACCCACAGCATTTGAATTTAAATGAAATCCATCCTGACGTTGGGGCTGTGTGAGCAGCGTGGTAGGATGCTGTAAGGCTGAACCTCAAATGCAGCAGCTCGCCATACCTCCGAGGGGGCAAAGTGCAGTAAAGAAGGCAAGGCAGGCGGCAGGGGATGGGGTGCTGGCTGTCCACAGGCCACCCTGATGGCAGACAAACCCTGCAGGTCACCCCAGGCAGGGACATGGTTGTTGCCCTACAGCTCACTGCTGTGGGAAGTCCACGGTGTCTCTTGCAATCAATTCCAATGCGGTCTGTGCCTCCAGTATTTGCTTTTCAGACATCTCCGAGCCCTCGCTGCGTTGCCATGGTAACGCTGAGTGATCCAATGTGGGTTATTTGCAGAATCGAGGTGCTGGTGCATTCTCCCTTCCGAGCCTTGCAGCAGTTTTTGCTTTGCACACCAGAAGCTGCAGGTGTGCTGCAGTAACGGTGATGTGTCCTTCACAGCAGCTCCCACGCCGGCATGCAGGTTGGCAGGTCCGCTCACCAGATTCCCTTCATGCTGGCAGTACCTGCCGAATGGACCAGAGCGGCCCCAGGATGGGAAGTGTTCAGACCTCAGCCAGGTCCCTGCTACCCCTCCATCCCAGTGGAGGCACAGCCCCCCGTTCAGTCGGCGCCTCTGTCCCGTGCCGATGAATCCACAGGCGTTGTAATTCCTGCCAGTGTCCACGGGACTGATGGGTCTAACACAGCAGTACAACCCCGATGGGAAAAGTGGAAAAGCTGCTTCACACAGAGCCAAAGCCCAGGCTGCCCTGCACTGCAGGAGAGCAGAGGATGCTGCTGCTGTCAGCTCTTTACCCAGCACTACAGCCACCAAAATACTTTCCTGCCTGCTGGCTAACCACTGCTGATGGAAACACACGGCGCTTTCAATTTATTTTGCCTCTGTGGCCTAAAACTCCTCCCGTGTCCAACCACAGCCGTCTGGCTATGGCCCATCACACTCATCATTCCCCATCCAAATGCAAACCAAGCCAGGACTTCTCAGTATCCAGGATGAGACAGTATCAGGAGCACTAAGTCTAGCCAGGTTGTTTAAATTATTAAAATAAGAAGGAAAAGCACAGGCTGGATCCTAGCAAAGCAATTTGTATATTATTCTTTCTTCTAATCCAAGTAAAAAGCTGTCTAACTGAAGTAAGAGCTTTGCATCTCAACAATGAACCAAGACTTTGCAAGGAGAGGTCGGGCACGTTTCCATCACAGCTTGAAGGCAGCTGGAGGAAGAGCAGAAAGGTCTTTTTGGGATACCACTGCTGTCAGGAGCAGCAGAAACATCCGCAGGTGGAGGGGCTCTGCCCCTGCAGCCGAAGCCCCTGAAGCACCCCGACGTGCCCTGACGCGGGTCCCTACGAAACGCTTCGAGTGCGAGAGCTGCTCGTTCCTGCCCGGGACGCGGCTCGCGGCCTCGCTTCAGGGATGGCGGGTGGCTGCCAGGCACCCGGAGCGGCTGAAGGGCCAAGTCAGGTGGATGCCTGCAGTGACGGGGACACCGCCGGAGAAGCAAGAAGGAATAAGGGCATTTAAAGGCCTAATTGCCTTTTTAATGCATCTGGGGAGAACACGCGTTCCCAAAAGCTTTGTCCAGGCATAAAGCACATTTCCAGTGTTCGTAACTTCGATTCATTTGCACAGATGACTAGCAGCCCAAGCACTGGGTGTATTTAACCACTTCTCTGAATTCTAACCCTAAATTCTGACCCTGCGGTCCCCCCGGCCGCGGGGGCCGGGCACGGCGGGGCCCGCTCCTCCCGCCCCGCGGGGCT